TTCAAATCCCCAAAGGAGGAGGAGTGTCTCCCTCTTGGTATCTACCGAGTGCCATCTGCTGTCTTGGCTAGTGGAACTCGCCAATTACCTGAAGCCGCTGGCTTCAGAAAAAGATAAGAAGAAAATACACTCTCTTTTCGGGAAAGTGTATGATAAATAATGCCATGCACAACGTAGCAGCAGTATTATTTTTTACCCGTAAATCGATACAATTAAATTTATAACGTGGTTTATAGATAAGCAAATCTATTTGATCCTAAAATGATAAATACATTAAATAAAATGCAAGACTTAGCGTTGAAATCGAGATAAGATAGAAGACAGCTTGGTTCCGGGAGCAAGGCTTCTGAAGACATCAATAAGCTTATTTATAGACAGAAAATAAAGTATTATTTAGCTTGGAATAATGTGTAGCATAAGTTTGTCAGAAATTTCGTGTCGTACAATGGCTATTGAAGTCACTATTTATAGCTATACCTAGGGAACAAGGTCCTAGGATCAAGTCCATTTTAAATGACAATAATGGGGGCCATTGATGAATATATAACGGTAGGGTATGAATACCAAAATTCTCTATAACGGATTGTGTATTTAATACTGAGGAATATTCTTCATTGAATGTCATCTGGTGGTAAATATTCATTTGCCCTCGTTAACAATGGTCCCTTCGGGGTCTGCCCGGTGCCAACCAAAGTTGTTGTCCTCAGTCTTGGCTTCCACTCCTTTTGTCTACCGTCTGTCTCTGGTTCCACGTGTCATTCTATCATTCGAGTATTTAATGTGAACTGATTTTAACTTATATAGATTGTCTCCCTGCTTTCCGGTGGCACATCTTTGTGTCATCGGGAAGTTGGTAAAGATTCCTTTCTTGGGGGGGAATTCTCTTAACCCTTCTGAAAAGTTTCTGACGCTTGATTAGACACACGACTCTCTATTGTGGGTTGAGAAGCAGCTACGACAAAGGTAGTATTGGTTGTTGGTTGCTCACTAACCGAAGACGAAAAAGGCCCGGTACTCAGCCTCATAGTACCAGGAGCAGCAACTGGGACTGGAAAGGGAGAATTGGCATTGTCCACCAAGTCAAACTCTCCTAGAGCGCTTGGGCATCGTCCCCAGTTGGGGTTATCAGCTCTTCAGATTGAGCATTCTGTTGAGTTGATGAAGGTCATTGTCTCCTTTGTAGGGAAGCCCCCTCATCACTGGCTTCCCCATCATCACCAATCATCATGCTGACTGCGGCTGGCTCAGGCGCGGCTTTCTTCACCTTTTTATTCTTGCCCTCGGCCGAGGAAGAATGCCGCTTTTTTGGTTGCTTGCTCTCCGGCCGGGGACTGCGAGAGGAAGCGCTTGCACCCGAAGCCAATCCGGTGGCTCCAGTCCAGGTGAAAGCCTCATTTAGCAACCTCGCAGCCTCCACGGGATCAGCCATAACATCCTCCTCAGGGATAGTAACAGAGCCCTGCAGGAGACCTGAATTCAACGAAAAAAGAGGTTAACCAATTTTCTTATGTACAAAAATGAGATGAGGACAAAATCAGTTTCACAAGTCAACTTACCATGACTTTTGGCCTTCCACCTGTATTTGGGGGCTAGTTCTTTCCACCGGCAGGTCTCAGGCGTGGTAATATCCAGAATCTTCTGAACCCACTGGTCCTAGCCTTCAACCCTTGGTGGTGTCCACCGAGTTGCTGAAATAATAAAAAGAGACGGAATAGCGGCGACATGAAACAATCTTTTTTCAGAAAAAAGACAGACTTTGAACTTACGTGTACAAGTCCAGGACTCAGGGAAAGATAGAGTTGTGGTCGGGATGATATCACTAGTGGCAACAATGACAAACCGCTCCATCCATCCACGGTCGTTGTCGTCAATCATGTTAGTAAGCAGAGTATGGTGGCCACGTTTGCTAAAATGTATTACTCCCCCACGAAAAATCTTGGGGGAGTAGAGATTCATCATGCGAGCCAAGGTGAGCTCCTCCTTTGTCTCTTAGCACAGCCGCCGTAGACAGGCCATCGTTCACCATACCGAAGGGCCCAAATGTGCCAAACAAATCTGGTATTTGTGGCACATCTCCAAAATCACGGTGTCAATTCCCCCGCTCAAAGAAAACGCACCCAAAGTAAATGGGTACGTATATGTGAAACCCTTCTTAGAGAAGGTTACTCGCTCCACCAGTTCGGGAGCAATGATGTTCAGATCATGGCAATCACAATCCTCCTTCATAGCAGGAATGCTGGAAGGGCGGGTGGAAGAAGGGTATATGCCAACAGCCCAAGTGCGAGAACATGAAGCCATAGGCCAACAGCCCAAGTGGGAATGATGGTGATCACCATAGGGGAGTCAGCATCAACGGTGATTTCTTTCTCTTTGTTCTCCTTCGTACCCCTACCGAAGAGAGAACCTGAGTTCTTGGAAAAAGAAGCCATGATCAGCAGAAGGTTATAAGAGTTCTTTGAAGAAGAAGATTAAAGAAGATTGAAAGAAGGAAAGAGTTGAATGCAAGGAAGTTGAGAGAGTTTGAAGAACTGTGAAGTGTAAAAGAAGAAGTATAAGTAAAGGAATATGCAACTAAAATCGTGGCCTTGATTACCTCGAGAACCGGCGAAAATATTTCTAAATTATGGAGTAACATGTTTCGGGGTATTAAATGCGGAGAGACATGCGTCTAATCAAGCGTCAGAAACTTTTCAGAAGGGTTCAGAAAATTTCCCGCCAAGAAAGGAATCTTCACCAACTTCCTGATGTCACAAAGATGTGCCACTTGAAAGTAAGATGGGAGACGAAGCGAGTGGAAAGCAAAACCGAGGACAACAAATTCGGTTGGCACTGGGCAGACCCGGAAGGGAACATTGTTAGCGAGGGCAAACAAATATTTGCCACTAGATGGCATTCAATGAAGAATATTCCTCAGTATTAAATACACAATCCGTTATAGATAATTCTAGCATTCATAGCTTGCCATTGTATATTCATCAATGGCCCCTGTTATTTTCATTTAAGAGGGGCGTGATCCTAGGACCTCGTTCCCTAGGTATAACTATAAATAGTGACTTCAACAGCCATTGTAAGACAGGAAATTTCTGGCAAACTTATGCTACACATTATTCTAAGCTAAATAATATTTTATTTTCTGTCTCGCTACCTCCGCAAGCATGCTCCCGGAACCAAGTTGTCTGCTACATTATCTTGATTTCAACGCTAAATCTTGCATTTTATTTAATTTAGGCCAAATATATAGACGGCCCCTTAAAGTTGGTTCCAAATTCCATTTTAACACATTAACTTTGTCTGTTTCCTATTAGACACTTAATATTAACATAAATTGTGCCTATAAGACACAAATGCTGAGGTGGCAAAGTGAGTATATCACACTTCTTTTTGAGAGCATGGATACAAAATATTGAGTGTCAATTGAAGATTAGGCTATAATTTTTCTTCCATCTCCTTTTTATGGCTTCTCTATAGATATCACCCCACCAGGCCACCTCTATAGCCATTGTCTTCATTACCACCTCATTCCCACCTCCACCATTTCACATGTACTTTTACAGCATAAGCACCTTCATCTCCCATCGAGCTATCACTGTGAAAATCACTTCGAACTCCACCACCTCTTCACCATTAGAAACAAAAATTCATATCATAATATCAAAACTCCACAGCTTCTTCAAACAATTCTAGACCAGATTCACACAAATTTGCAATTTCAAGCTGGTAATTTATAAATTTCTCATTAAAGAAGAAATCAAGACACCAACATAATAATACCCAGATGAAATTGAAAAGGAAAAATAAAAATAACAGAGGATAAAGAATTAAAATAGAGGATAAATCTCTCAAGGGTTGGCGTCTTATTTTGGGACAAAAAAGGTTCTTGGGAAGTTCCACCGGAAAAGTAGCCAGTAAGACTCCATTAATGGAGTATGATCATGGCTTTAAAATAAATGACAGTCATGGGCTTTCGCCGGAGGAACCAGAGGGGTCAACGGCACCGGTGTGGAACTGCACCTACTGTCGTTCAGACTCGTTCTCTTAGACAAATAATAGAAAAAATGGTTAAAAGAGAGTTTACTGGTGAGAGAGATTTGACAGAGAAAGGAGCAGAGTGATTATTGTGAGGGGTTCATTTAGAGAAGAAGACGATGGGAGAGGCAAGGTGGAGAAGGCAAAAAGTTTATATTTTTTTTGTGGGTATATTGTTAATATATTATTTGGGTTAAATACAAGTGTTGTTATTTGATTTATTTTTTTGCCACGTCATCGCGTTTGATTTCACGCTATTACTTTTGTTTACTGGTGGTTAGACGATGGCCTAATAGGCACCGTTTATGTTGGGATTAAGTGTTTAATAGGAAACATTGTAAGTTGAGGTGTCAAAATGAAATTTGGAGCCAAATTTAAGATGATCTCTATGTATTTGGCCTTTAATTTATTTATCATTTTGGGATCAAGTCGATTTGCTTGTCTATAAATCACGCTATAAATTCAACTGTAACGTTTTACGGGTAAATAACCTGTAGTTCTTTTATTTATTTATTCTCTTTTTGTTTCTTCGTATTAATTAGTTAAAGGTGGAAAAAATAGTTTGTTACGGTACTTATCCAGTTAAGCTTTTCAAGAGCTTGTCTGACCTAGATCTGTATGAAGTACTCAAATTGATCTTGTTTTTCATTTTCTCTCATTATATACAAGCGTTAACTGCTTCGTATTCTCCCAAGGGCGTTGATAAAATTGCAACCTTTTTAGTCATATATACAAAAACTCCTGAATTATATACGTTCTTACAGTTATTTACCTAATCTATAATTCCTTTTCAACAAGTAAAGTTGGTGAAATTAAGCAATTTAATTTGGGATAAAAAAAAACCCCAGAAAATGACTGTTTGATATCAAAATGGCGCAATTAGAAAAGTTATAAGATTTCCCGGTGTTTATAGCTCCCTCACAATTTCCATAAGGTAAAAGTGGAGGGGAAAGAAAAAGAAAGAAAGATCTCTCTGTTCCAAACATTTTGGTCTCTGTAAAAATTCAATCTTTACAGACGTGGGATTGACAAGAGTTTATTCTTGGCAGTGATCAATCAATCTTTACAGCAGAATATATCTTCCGAACAAACCACAAGCATGCCAAGAAGCCAATAGTCCCGGTGAGTACAAAAAATGCATAAGCCCAAATCAGCATATAACCAAAGTAGAGAATACCTGAGACCAGCTTTGAGATTTCCAACTTGGCACAGAAATAATAGATGGAATACAAGAATAGGTATAACGCAGAAGAGCCGGAAGTCAAATAGGCTCGCCACCACCAGCGATAGTCCTCAGAGCATAACTGAAAGTAGGCTAGTACAATGGTTATCTCCGCGCAAGTGACTATAAGAATGGTAAAGACAATGAAGAGAAATCCGAATATGTAATAAAACTGGTAGAGCCATATGGATGTCAAGACAAAAAAGAGCTCTATAAACACTGCACCATACGGAAGTATGCCTCCGAAAAGTGTAGTGAATAGAGGATTCATGTACCAAGGCTGCAAAGGGATCAGTCTAGGAATCTTATTTGTTTTAACAGGATCCTCAACTGCAGGTTTTCTATAACCAAGGAAGCTTCCCAGGAAGACTAATGGTACTGAAATGCCAAACCAGAGAAGCACAAGGACGAACATTGTCCCAAAGGGTACAGCTCCAGAAGATTTCTCTCCCCATATTAGAGCATTCAGCACGAAAAAGATGGCAAAAAGAAAAGCAGGGAACATAAAGGCTGTTTGCAATGACATTTTTTTCCAGTCTGTTCCTTTGAACATTTTGTACAATCGAGCTGAGGAGTAACCAGCAAATAAGCCCATGAACACCCATAGCAAAACCATGGCGGTCATTAGCCCACCACGATTAGAAGGCGAAAGAAATCCAAGTAAAGCAAATATCATTGTGACAAGGGACATTCCGAGAACTTGGATTCCTGTCCCAACATGCACACACAATAAACTGGAATTTTCAGGTGGCCTGAAGACATCTCCATGTATAAACTTCCATCCAGTCTCTTCTTGTGCTTCATCTTGTTCCAACTGGTTGTAGTTGGCAATGTCTCTGTATATAGTTCTCAAAATGATCATAGCTACTATTCCAGATAGGAAAAGCACAATCATCAAAGAATTGATTATTGAAAACCAATGGATCTGATCTCCATTCATATGGAGGTATGAGTCCCAACGGGACGCCCATCTGATATCACTGGACTGGCAAAAGATAAAGCCCAATAAGAAGCTGAATGTCAAGGGGAAGGACAAGGGAGGTGTTATTGACAAAACAATATACCTCAAATGAAACGTCATATGTAAACACTAGTTCTTTGTCTGCAATAATCTCTTGAGGTACAGAGTTTGTCCGGAATAAAGTTGGCTTCCCAGGTTTGTATGTCGTAAGTTTAGTGTTCTGTTCATCCCACTTTTTGTAGTCATGGTTAAAACTGATTCAAATCAGCATGTGATCTCAGAACACGAGAGATAGCGAGAGAGAAAAGGCAGTTATCTCTAAAAGATATGCATAGAAATGCCAAAGCACACCAATAAATAAACCTTCTAGTAAGAAAATTATGCATTTAAATTTCATCATGCAAGGATGCAATGCAATCAAAGATCAGGGCCAATTAACCTGTAGGACTTTTGATATTACTGGATCCAAATTACATGGAAACATAGTCAAATTAGACAGTGCAAAACCTTGAACACTTCTATGACTCAAATAAGTGCATAAACTTGAGCAAGTAGAAACTATGAGCAATGCTAAACAGGCCATGAAACTATGAAAAACCAGCAGAAGCCTAGAGTTGAATGCTGCATCACGAAAGTTCGGAAGCGTGAATGTCCTAGAACTACAATAAACTAATGTACCAGTTACAGGAGACCACTGCCACTCCACATTCTGAATTCATCACTAAGCATGCAAAATTAATTCTATTTTTGAATGCCTAATCATCGTTTCACAAAAGAGAATAACAGAAAAAAGGTCAAAGGAAAATGAGAGAGAGAAGGGAAGTGGTATAAGAAGACTTTCATTCAAGTAGTGAAAGCTTGAGAGTTGTTCAAACCTGAGGGGAATAACCTCAAAACCAACAACACGAGCAGTGCCCGTCTCAAGATCCTCGTGATACATAACCTTGAAATTCAAATGGTTATTCATAAAATAACTTTTCTCTTTCCTCTGCAAAACCAACTTTTACAGTCAACAAACAAATAACAACATTCAGAGATAACAACGAAACAGTAAGATTCAGACCCCAGCAAATCTCCCTTTAAATCCAACTTGAAATCCACGTTCATAAACTTTTTCTCCGCTTCCATCCAGCTTTCGCCGAGGAACTGCCACAGGAAGATTGTCCAGAATCCTGTACAGGTGACACAAAACTAACTTCAAAGCTTATAACTATCTAGGCAAAAGTATTTAGGTATCCACAAGTCCATCACCACATTAGTAGAAATAAAACAGCACAATCAGCAAAATGACTGAAGTGAAACAAAGGGAGTCTCAATTAATTGTTCACCCTTACATGTTAACTCGGTAATCGTCATCAATTTTGTCTTTGAAATTCTTAGCAGAAACTGCATCAAGTTTGATTCTACATGCCACCTTGCAGGACTCTGTCTCTCTCATCTTGAACTGGAGAACTTTTCAAAATTAGCTCAGAACTAACATACTGTATCATATTTTACATTCAAGCCATACCATAATTTTCTTTAGTAATGGATGGATAGCTAAAAGACACTCACAGTATAGATAGAATTCTCAATGCGGTCACCTCGAAGAACTTCTCCCAAATTCTCTGCACTGTTGGAAACTTTTGGAGGTTTACAATAGCCCAGGAAGTAATAATCGTATGGCAGCTGTGTCTTCGTGGATGAAAGCTTGTTTACTTTAACATGAAGAGAATCACCCTGTGAAGAAGTTGGTAGGTTTATTCACAAGCAGAACCATATTAAATATAAAAACACCTTAATGTAAATTAGTACTACTATTATCAAACTCTATGCAGAGAGGATCCTAGATTTTAAGTCAATTGGTGCAAAACAGCAATGTATCCTCTACATCTTTGTGGCAATATGTGCAGTCTTGGTATAATTAAAATATTTTAAAGATTTTTCAAACTATGTATATATTGTTGAATGAAACCTAAAATAGTGGCTATGATCGCGACTGTCAAAGCTTTAAATCTGCTACTGCCTTGATGTATCGATAAAGTTACTAAACCAGAATGTCTATCAAGCATATTTCCAAGTTTACTGAATGTATTTCCTAATGAACAAGGCATAAACAAAGGCAAAAAAAAAATCATGACATGAATTCTCAGGAAATATCATTTGATTAGGTGAGAAAACTTTTGCACTTAATTGATAATGCCTCTGAAGAAAAGTACTAAAAAATAAAAAACAAGACAAACAAATGCTTTTCTCAGTCATTATCCCCCAAATCAAATTTCTTGTGTACATTATACCTTCATTTTCGTAATCACAAACAGACAATTATTTAGTATACACAGTATCATGCATTCAGTGAAAATATTTTGGCAACAAGTACCAATTCAGAATAGATATAGGTATATGTATCTCAAGATTAGGACTGTGGGTGCAACCATGCTAGCTTTCGACACACTACATCTGCCAAACCATCATACAGTGCAAGGGAACTTGTAATGTTTCAGTACCAAACATGTTAGGATNGTCCTTGTCAATATAGGACTGTCTTTCATTCTGCTTTTACTTATTTTTTTTAAATCTCTCATTTTCTAAATTTTTTCATTGTCTTTAGTACGATCTGGCTTCACACCTCGCGGTGCTTACACCTCTCGCCTATCGGAACACCAACCCAATCTTGAAAGCTGAAGTGGGTTTGGGGAATGGAAGAACAAGAACATCTTCTTTACCACCAAAAATGGTAACATAAGACCCTTCTTCACTCATGCTTGTCATCTGCTCGTGAATACCGTCCAGTCAAGTCTGCGGAAGCTAGTAAAACAAACCTTGAATGACAATAAATCAGACAACAAAAGAGAAATATACCAAAAGAGACACAAACATTTAACGTGGTTCGGTCAATTGACCTACGTACACAGACGGAGATGAACAATCCACTATATAAAAGAGAATACGAAATATCGAGAGAACAACCTCACAAATAGGCACACACAAGTGGTAGACGAACACTTGTCTCACAAATTCTCTCCCTAAACAAAACTCTCAAAACTTTTATGGCAACATTGCGGATGTTACTAAATGAGAAAGAAAGATCCTCAATTTATAGAAGTTCAAAATCTTTTCCTCCAAGAAAAAAGACTAGTCAAATATGTAAGAATTATATTTTTCATTTCGTAAAAAGAAAAACCAATTATGGTAAATATGTTGCCCTTCCTTCAAGAAATAGAAAAATAAAATATTATAAGAAAATCAGAACAAACGCCTAGGGCTGCTATTGGGCGGATCAGGCGGTTATTTACTGTTAACGGTTCGGCTTATCGGTTATCGGCTTTTAAATACATTATTCCGCTAACAATTTCCCCCCTTGGCCTGAATTTTATAAAAAATAAACTTAATCCACCTTCTTCATATAACCTTTAACATGTCATATCTCTTATTCTCCACCACAAAGTTTGTCTCGATACCAGTAGCACTTCGGTCAAATTTCTCAGACAAAACTCATGATTACCGACAAATAGGTTGCGGATAGAACTAAATCCGCCTAGACGAACATGTCTTGAACCTCGCTCTGATGCCACTTGTTAGGATCGAAATAAACAGATGTCATGCGGGAAGCTAGTAAAGCAAACCTTGAATGATGATTAATCAGACAACAAAAGATATATACACCAAAAGAGCCACAAATATTTTAACGTGATTTGGTCAATTGACCTACGTCCATAAGCGGAGATGAGCAATACACTATATAAAAGAGAGTACAAAATATCAAGAGAACAACCTCACAAATAGAAACACACAAGTGGCAAGCTAACACTTGTCTCACAAATTCTCCTCCTAAACACAACTCTCAAACCCCAAAGGACTAGCCAAATATGAAAAAATTATATTTTTCTTTTTATAAAAGTAAAAATCAACTATGTTAAATATATTTTCCTTTCTTCAAGGAATAGGAAAATCAAATACGTTAAAGAAAATCAGGACAAATACCTAACAAGACAATATTTGGCTATCATCTTTATATTAATTAATCCATTCGTTCCACTTTTGCTTGACATAGTTTGACTTGACACGCGTTTAAAAAGGAAAAGAAATTTTTTTAAACTTGTGGTGTTAAACATGACAAACCTGACGAATCCGACTGATCCAAGGTGCAAGTAGTGTCCATAACATTTGTGTGGCTATAACACTTTTAGATCTTTGATCTTAAACATGTCATAACATTAGTATGGCTACAAAAGCTTTTTGTTAAGAAAATATAGAAATGTGTCATTGTTGTTCGGACTAATAAGGAAATAATATCAAAATAAATAAAAGGAAGGAGTAATATAATATTTGTCTCCACGAAGAAGAAGTGAGAATATTTATCGACTTAATTTAAAATGCTAAGAGGGGAGAGAGGAGAAAACTTTTTACAGTTTGAAAATCGCGAGGAGCAACGCCGGGAAGATAGAAAGCATGCAAGAAGTGACATGAAAATAGCAGTAGTATGATCATCCACAAAAGTCGCTGTAGTGACCACAAGCTGCTATACATCATCGTCAGTCCAAAGGCTTTCCACATTTTCTGATCAGCCAAGTATGGAGGTCGCTTAAGTGGCAGTACTCTCGTAGACTACAAAGTAGTAGCAAGAGTGGGAATTTACTACTGAAGGACGTATACGACGCCGTTCGGTGGTAAGCTGCGGGTCTTCCAAAAGTCTACTACACTAATTGATTTTATTGCAAAATTTGCTTTGCAGGTCGGAGGATATATGCGTGCACGGAACGGCGACTTAATTTCCTCGGTATTCCATGTTTAGGAAAACCGCGTCCCCCCCATTTATTACAATTCATTTTCTACCGCACCTATTTTTTATCTATTCATCAAAATATTTAGGATGGCTAGCTAGATGATTAGTGCAGATATCATATTTCGACCTCATATATATAGACAGTCATCTAATTTAGGGGAAGTAATAATTATATTCAGATGTACCTTTAGAAGTTAGGTTGCAGCGCGGCAGAAGGATGATTTTAACCAATGTGATTTAAAAAATAAAAAAATAAACACACAAAATAATTAGCATATTCAACAGATAATATATTTTTTTAAAATTTTTTTTTTTAATCTTGTATACACATTGTAATTTTTTAGAAGGAACCGCCTTCCGCCACCCTGGCTTCGCCCATGGGCGCAAGGCAAAGGTGTTTATCTGGAACGGGGCGAGCATTAAATCTAGATAATTGGGGCTTACATAAATCTTTAAATTTTTACAATTTATAAATTTACAAAATTAGTATTTAAATATAATTTTCTTCTTTTAAAAATGCATTAAAATCATAAAATTTAAAAATTGAATGATACAATCCGTAAGTGAAAAACAAGAATTCCTGGATAATGTGCTTAGTAGCTTCACATAAAAAATAGTTATCTCGAAAACCAGTTAAATCCAACCTCGATATCAATAAAGTCAACTACCGGTTAAACTTCTGAACCTTTCAAACCTTCAACTTTCTATTTTTTTCTAATTCAAGCCGAAACGACCTACGGACCTCCAAATCAACATCCGGACACGCTCCTAAGTCCAAAATCACTATATGGAGCTATTAGAACTATCAAAACTCTTTCCGAATCGTCAACCTATGGTCAACACTTTCAACTTAAGCCTCCAACTTAGGGACTATGCGTCCCATTTCACTCCGAAACTCACCTAAAACCAAACACCCCGGCAAGTCACATAACCATAATATAACATAGAGGACGCAACAAATAGGGGATCGGGGCTAAAATACTCAAAACGACCGACAAAGTCGTTACATCCTCCTCCTCTTAAAACAATCGTTCATCCTTGAACGGGTATAGAGACATACTTGAAGTGGTGAAAAGATAAGGATAAGGGCTATGCATATCATGCTCGGTCTCCCAAGTCGCCTCCTCGATTGGTTGACCCCTCCACTGAACATTCACTGAAGTAATGTTCTTCGACCACAACTTTCGGACCTGCCTATATAAAATGGCCACCGGCTCCTTAACATAAGACATATCCTTGTCCAACTGGACTGAGCTGAAATCCAACACATGAGACGGATCACCATGATACTTCCGGAGCATAGAAATATGGAATACTGGATGAACTGCAGCTAGACTAGGTGGCAGTGCAAGCGTGTAGGCCACCTCTCCAATCCTCTCAAGAATCTCAAAAAGGTCCGATATACCTAGGGGTCAACTTTCCCTTCTTTCTGAACCTCATAATACCCTTCATGGGAAAAAGCTGGATCAAGACCCGCTCCCCAACCATGAATGCAACGTCGCGAACCTTCCGATCCGCATAACTCTTCTGTCTAGATTGGGCTGTATGAAGCCGATCTTGAACCAATTTAACCTTCTCCAAAGCATCCTGAACCAGGTCAGCACCCGATATCCTAGCCTCGCCTGGCTCAAACCAACCCACCGGAGACCGGCACTACCTCCCATACAAGGCCTGATACGGAGCCATTTGAATGCTCGATTGGTAGATGTTATTGTAGGCGAACTCTGCAAGCAGCAAGAACTAATCCCAAGAACCCCCAAACTCCATCACACATGCACGACGCATATCCTCTAATATATGAATAGTATGCTCAGACTGTCCGTCTGTCTGAGGGTGAAATTATATGCTCAACTCAACCCGTGTGCCCAACTCCCGCTATACAACCTTCCAGAATCATGATGTAAACTGCGTACCCCGGTCAAAGATGATGGATACCGTCACACCATGAAGTCTGACAATCTCGCGAATATAGACATGAGCCAGCTGCTCTTAAGAATAAGTAGTCACCACTGGAATGAAATGAGCCGACTTGGTCAACCTATCCAATAACACCCATACTGCATCAAACTCCTTCTGAGTCTGTGGGAGCCCAACAACAAAATCTATAGTAGCCTGCTCCCATTTCCACTCTAGAATTTTATCCTCTGAAGCAATCCACCTGGCCGCTGATGCTCATACTTCACCTGTTGTCAATTTAGACACTGAGCTACATATTCCACTGTGTCTTTCTTTATTCTCCTCCACCAATAGTATTGCTTCAAGTCCTGATACATCTTGGTAACACCCGGATGAATGGAGTACCGTGAAAAGTGGGCCTCCTAAAGAATCAACTCATGCAAATCATCTACATTGGGCACACATAGCCGGCGCTGCATCCGTAACACACTGTCATCCCCAATAGTGATGCACTAAACCGTGTCTTTGAGGACAAGCAGATGGGGATTATCATACTGATGCTCTGTGATACGATCATATAGAGAAGACCGAGAAACCACTAGCCAAAACTCGAATCGGCTCCGAAACATCCAATCTAACAAACTGGTTGGCCAAGGCCTGAACATCCAATGCTAAAGGACTTTCCGCTACCGGTGGATATGCTAAACTGCCCAAGCTCTCCTCCTTACGACTCAAGATATCGGCCACCACATTGGCCTTCCCGGGATGATATAAAATAATGATATCATAGTACTTAAGCAACTCTAACGATCTTCACTGCCGCAAGTTAAGATCCTTCTGTTTGAACAGATGCTGTAGACTCCGGTGGTCGGTATAGACCTCATAAGGGACACCATACAAATAGTGCCGCCAAATCTTCAAGACATGAACAATAGCTGCTAACTCAAGGTCATGGACAAGATACTTTTTGTCATGTACCTTCAGTTGTCTAGATACGTAGGCAATCACCCTACCGTCTTGCATCAACATTGTTCCAAGGCCAACACACGACGCATTACAGTACACAGTGTAAGACCCCGAACCTGTAGGAAACACCAACAATGGGGTTGTTGTCAAAGCACTATTGAGATTTTGAAATCACTCATCACACTCCTTGGTCCATCTGAACGGAGCACTCTTCTAGGTCAATCTGGTTGTAGGTGCAGCAATAGATGAGAAACCCTCTGCGAATCGACAGTAATACCCTGCCAAACCAAGAAAACTCGGGATCTCAATAGCTGAAGATGGTCTGGGCCAACTCTGCACTGCTTCAATCTTCTTCGGATCTACCTTGACCCCCTCACTCGACAATATATGACCCAAAATTGCCACCGAATCAAGCCAGAATTCATACTTTGAAAATTTTGCATTCAACTTCTTTTCTCTCAAGGTCTAAAGCACAATCCTCAGGTGTTGCTCATGATCCTCCCGGCACCGGGAGTACACCAAGATGTCATCAATAAACACAATAATGAATAAGTCATGATAGGGATGGAATACACTGTTCATCAAGTGCATGAATGATATTGGGGCGTTGGTCAGCCCAATGACCTACTGTTGCTCAGTATGGTAGATTTTGATGTTATTTTGGGCATGAACTAGTTATTGCCCTATCATACTATCCTTGATTGTCACGCCAAGACGGTGACATTGGCTATGCCAAGTTTATCGCGGTTTGAGTGGAGGGGTACTTTAGATTATGTTCCTAGCAGGGTGGTGTCTTTCCTTAAGGCATAACGGATGGTCGGGAAGGGGTGTGAGGCATATCTAGCCTTTGTGAGAGATGTCAGTGTTGATACTCTTACCGTTGAGTCTGTTCTGGTAGTAAGAGACTATCAAGATGTATTTTTGGCATATCTTTCGAGCATGCAGACCGATAGGGTTATTGGTTTTGGTATTGATTTGTTTCCATGCATGACGAGCTAGGGGAATCTGCTAGTTCCAGGGTGAACAAGTTTCTTCAGTTAGATCCTCCAGTGTTTACGGGTACTGATCCCGAGGAGGACCCCCAGGACTTTATTGATAAGAAGCACAAGACTCTTCGAGTTATGCATGCTACAGAGACAGAGGGAGTGGAGTTGGCCTCCTACCGCCTTAAAGGGGTGGACTATTCTTGATTTGAGTTGTGGGAGGAATCCCGTGGGGAGGGAAGCCCTCCGGCAAGGTGGGGTGAATTCACAGATGCCTTTATGGATCATTTCTTGCCGGCCAAAACTAAGGCAGCCCGTGCCACTGAGTTTGAAAGCCTGAAGCAGGGTAGTTTGAATGTGTGGGAGTATCATATGGAGTTTGCGCGCCTGTCCAAATATGTTATTCATATGTTGCCCACTATGGAGGCTTAAATGCACCGTTTTGTACAGGGCCTTAGCCCCTTAGTTATTAATGAGGCCTCTACAGCTTCTTTGAATTCCGATATGAACTATGGTAAGATGGTGGCATTTGATCAAGCCACATAGACTCGCAAATTGAAGAATAGAATGGAGCGTCAGAATAGCGGCAAGGCCCGGTGCGCGGTCAACTTTGGTGGTTCTTTTGGTGGTGGTGGTGGTAGCTCGGCATTCAGGGGAGGGTCATCAGGACCATAGGACCATCCCAATCATTCGCCTAGTCTTCGATGGGTGCACAGTCATCTGGACCCAGTCAGGGCAACTGGGGACCCCACCAGCAGGGTCGTCCCAACAGAACATTTCATCAGCGGAGGCTCCCATGCCCTAAGTGTGGGAGGATGCACTTTGGGGCCTGCTTTATGGACCTACCTATATGCTATGGGTGCGGTGTGAGGGGTTACATTCAGAGGGATTGCCGCTCGTCCCGCCGAAACATGGGCAGAGGTGCGGCGTAACCAGCTAATTCTGAAGCTACTACATCCACAGCACCTCCAGCTCGAGGCACCCTAGCACCCGCAGGGTGTGGTGCAGCTAGGGGTGGTGCATAGAATTTGGGAGGACCCAATAGATTTTATGCTATACGGAGGCGTCGGGAATCCGAGGCTTCTCCAGATGTTGTCATAGGTATATTGTCTTTCCAATCCCATGATGTATATGNACTAACATCCCTTTTGCCGGGGGCGCTGCATCTTTAAATGGATGCAGGTGGTT